GTTAAGGGTGATCACGTTTTCCTATTTCATTGAGGAAAAGCTCGTTGTGCTGAAAGCATTAGGGCAATGTGATTAAATGCTACTGTGTAAAATTTGATATTAAGTGTTACCTGCATAATACCTATGTCTTCCTGCAGCTGAAGTTAAACCATTTGAAACATTAATGTGGTGCAATTGAATGCAAACCATTTTCCTTTGTGTCTCCTTGGCTGTAGTGGAGTTGAAATGCTAATAGTAATCATGAAATGTGTTTTGTTTGCAAGGCAAATGATTAGCAATAAATGTGAATAATAACTTTTTATTAAAAATTAGAGTAAATAACAGACGGCTGAACCCTGGGATACCCCAATAGAAAAAATCCATGGTGTTCTAGCTTGAGCACTTTGGGAACTATGTATGGTACTTACTTGCTGATGAGTAACAGCATGTAGCATTGTTAAGCTTGATTAAGCAAATTTAATTAGCGTTAGTCAACGCATTTTTGTAAGTGGGTAAAATATATTCCAGTTTAGGCATGACTGTTAATCTTTAATTTATGAGATAAAATTTAAAATGTAAACATAAAATATTAAAATTACAATAAACCACATTTAAAGGAACTAATTTTTTTTGTTAAATTTCCTCAATCTTTTATAACACTATAACTCAAAAGGAAATTGCCTTACTGTTTCCCTGTTTCTTTGGTTTTGCTATAAAATATCAGGTGGTGGAGATAAAATCACAACCTGAGCCACAAATTCCCAACTGAGAATACTTAATTTCTTTTTTTGAGGAAGATTAGCCCTGAGCTAACATCTGCTGCCAATCCTCCTCTTTTTGCTGAGGAAGACTGGTCCTGGGCTAACATCTGTGCCCATCTTCCTCTACTCTATATGTGGGATGCCTGCCATAGCATGGTATGTCTGCACCCAGGATTCGAACCAGCGAACACCAGGCCCCCAAAGCGGGATGTACGCACTTAACCGCTATGCCACCGGGCTGGCCCTGAGGATACTTAATTTCTAAATGACCTAGGACGACATTACTCTATAACTAGACTTTATAACATTCTTCAAACCTGGGTTTCTTGTTGTATAGAAGTTATCTATTTTGGTTCCTTGAGACTAAAGACAGGAGGAGAATCTAAAATCAAGACCTCATCTTAGAAAATAAAATGACCTTAGGAAAAATAAATGAAGTGATGCATAAATTAATTAAATAAAAAATTCAGAAACTACTCAAAGAAGATATTCTCAAGGTTGGAGGAAATCATATCCCAAACTAACTTAAAATTTTTCAAATCTAAATTAATACTGTAAAAACAATTTTATTTAGATATAACTGGTGTGTAGAGCATTGTATTAATTTCAGGTGTACAACCTAATGATTTGATATTTGCATATATTGCAAAATGATCACCACAATAAGTCTAGTTAACATCCATCGCCATAGTTACATTTTTTTCTTGTGATGAAAATTGTCAAGATCTACTCTTTTAGTAGTAAATTAATACTTTTGACACTAATCACTGATAATTAATTAAGTAGACCCTGGCAGAGTGTAAGGCCTTCTGCTCCACACAATTAGCATTCCTGAAAAATACTGCAGCCTGATCAAGCACAGGGAAAAGAATTTAAGAGTTTTCCAGAAATTTTATATCTCAGTTAACCATGCTAAGAGAAAGTTTGGGAAAACATTGTTTTATAACTTGGCTTAAAATTATTCTCTCTCTCTGACTCTTTTCTCTGACTCTCTTTTTCTGACTTTCTCTCTCTCTCTTTTCCAGACCAGCTGCTCTGAAGTTTAAAAAAATCTAGTCATGATAAACTGTGTGTGTGTGTGTGTGTGTGTGTGTGTGTGTAGTTGGAGGCAGATGGGGGGTAGTGTTTGAGCTTAGCCGTTTTACAGGAAAATGGGAGCATCAACCATTATCAACTCTAAAAAAAAGTTGTCAAATCTCCACAAGACCTCTAAAAATGGCAGCCACATACATTGTTCCCCAGAGCATGCCTTAACACGGAGGCAGACCCCTCTCCCTTAGAGTAAGAGCAGCAAGACTGTAGACCTCCAGAGATAGATGGTCCTTGACCCAGGACATAGGGAAGAGAGGCATGTGAGAAAAGAACAAAGTTGTATGGATTCATAGTGAGGAGATGGATATAAGGTCAGAATGAGAGAGGCGTCCTCATTCAGAACACTCATTTCATTTCTTCATTCAGTCAATATTTGCTCGTTTGCCAGGTACTATGCTAACAGCTAGTGTTATAGCACCGAGCAAAACTGACACGCTCATTACTCTTCATGGAAACTGTAGATGACTGATAAAAAGTTTACCAGAGGAAAGATACAAGAACATCCCACAAAGTCCTTCATCATCTGGCTCCTGTCTACCTCTCGGATCTTATCGCTCATCACGTCTGACTCCCCACCTTTGTCCCTCCCATACTAAACCAATTGAAGCTTCACCAAAAGGCATGATCATTCTTCCTTGACTTTGTCACCTCCTCTGGGAAGCTCCTTGATTTCTCTCTTCTGGTTTGGTGCAAACCATATGATCTTATCCTCTTCCATGGGTAAATACAAAAGACTACATGTAATTACACATATTTTTTCTTCTCTTAATTTCTTTAAAAATCATATGATAGTTAAAAGCAAAACTTATAACCCTGTATTACTGGTATGAAAGTTTTGTTTCAACAGTGTTTCCAAATACTCTTAAAAATTTTATAACAGCTGCTTTAAAGTCTTTGTCAGCTAGTTTCTATCTTGCCATTGGCATCTGTTAATCATCTTTTCCCTTGAGAACTGAGATCTTTTTGTGGTTTTTAATATGCAGAATAATTTTTTATTGTATTCTGGATATTTTGAGTATTACCTTATAAGAATCTATATCATGTTTAAACCCTATGGAGAATATCGATATTTTCGTTTTGGCAGGCACTTGACTTGGTTAGTTTCATCCCACAGGTTCCAATCCATGATGTGTGGCCCATGGTTCCAAAGTTAGTCCAGTTATTAATATCTTCACAGTTAAGGCTGCCAGATAAAATATAGGTTGCCAAACATTGCATGAGATATATATATACATATATATGTATATATATACTAGAAATATATATTCAATGTTTATCTGAAATTTAAATTCAACTGGCATCCTGTATTTTTACTTGCTAAATCTAGCAACTATAATTGCAGTACTAATGGAATTTGTCCTACGCATTAGCTGCTCAGTGGTGGTGTACACTTTAGTTCAGTTCTCAAAGCCATTGGTAGCTCATAAGGATGAGACTCCTACAAGCATAGGTCAAGGATGAGCCCGGGAAGACGCTTTCTTATGCTTCCTCCTTTCTATCTCCTTAGTACTTTCTGATTCCCTGTGGCTCCTCTTTTACATCCTCTGGCCAGAAATGCCCACTTCAATAATTATACTGCATCCTGACCCAAGAGGAGAGAGGACAGAGAGAGAAGAAAGTGAAAACCAACAGCTTTGGCAGTGCCCTCATGGAGCCGCAGTTCCACGGAAAGGAGAAGTTTGCTCTTCCTCAGCATGCCACTGCCCTCATTGCACAGCAGCCTGGTGCTCGGGATGCGAGAACAGAGTAAAGGAAGAGGAAAAAAACTGGGTGCTATCGTGTGAATGTTTGTGTCCTCCTAAAATTCATAGGTTGAAATCCTACCCCTCCAGATGATGGTGTTAGGAGGTGGGGCCTTGGGGAGGTGATTAGGGATTAGTGTCCTTATGAAGGAGACCCCAGAGAGCTCCCTTATGCCTTGCACCACGTAAGGACAGTGAGAAGTCAGCAGTCTGCAACCTAGAAGAGGGCCTTTGCCAGGTACCAAATCTGCTGGCCCCTTGGTCTTAGGCTTCCAGCCTCCAGAACTGTGAGGAATAAATTGCTGTTTTTTATACGCTACCCAGTCTATGGTATTTTTGCTATAGCAGCCCAAATGGACTAAGATACTGGGGCATTTTCCCCACTCTCTTGGAGCTTTAAAATTTCCATTTTCTCTTCTTCAAGCCAGAAATGGAGGATTTCTACTGGATCTCTCTCTGTATGTCCCACAGTGCTCATGTCAGGATTTCAGATTGCTATTGAGTTCAGGCTGGGGGATACTGGAGGGCAAAAAAAAGGAATTTTGTAAATCAATCGAATTGAGTCATTATCTTCTCTGTGCTGAACATATAATAAAAATATCCTCCATTCAATTTATTTGGGGGGAAGAGAGCTTGAAAATACACCTGCATTTATATAGAAAAGTATGAGTAATCTGACCTATGCTCCCACATCAGACGTAAATGCCAGGGGACTCCACACTTCAGAGTTAGCACGCATGCATCTTTGGTGTTCTTGTACTTTTGTGCTGCAGTGGTTTAGGGTGGGGTTAAGCCAGATCATATTTACAGCAATAAAACTCTCTTTTTACTTGCTATCCTTTCCTTCCATGGGAGTTATTCAGTGCCACGACTGTGCCTACTCAATACATGGGTTTGAGACTGGGACATTGTTACAAAGGAACTCAGCACCAGCATTCAGTGTAAATTCACTCTCAGGACTTGCTGGCAGACAAGCGAACATGCCTTCTGACGAAGGAATCTGGATGTGAAGTTTCTGAGGACACAAGAAATTGTCAATCTGACTGCTTTTGAAGTTTCTTAAGAAGAAGGAGAAGAAAAACACTAACATATCATGAAGAATTTACCACTCACCATGGTCCATGAAATTACCTCATTTAAACCTTACAATTAAACCCTTCTTTTTTACAGATGAGGAAATTGAGAATTCAAGCTGTTCGGACAACATAAGAGTTTTCCAACTTGTCTTTAAAAAAAAAGGTCATGATTGTGGTGCGCTATGTTTCTGTCTTCCTAGACACTCCAGTACCTGCCAGCATAGAACATGTTCCACCCACAAACAAAACACAGTGTATTAGCCTGCAGAGAAACAGAATCAATAGGATATATATATACACACATACAGAATGAAAGAGAGAAAGAGATTGAACACAAGGAATTGGCTCACGTGATTATGGAGGCTGACAAGCTCCAAGATGTGCAGGCAGGAGGCCCAGGAGAGCCAATGGTGTACTTCCAGTCTGAAGGTCAGCAGGCTTGAGATCCAGGAAGAGACAATATTTCGGTTCAAGTCTGAAGGCAGGAAGAAACCAATTCCTCAGTTCAAAGGCAATCAGACAGGAGGAGTTCTCACTTACTCAGCGTTTGTGTTTGATTCAGGCCTTTGACTGATTGGATGAGGCCCACTCACATTAGGGAGAGCAATCTGTTTTACTCAGCCTACTGATTCAGATGTTGATCTCATCCAAAAATGCCCTCACAGACATACCCGGAATAATGTTGGACCACATATCTGGGGGTGCTGTGGCCCAGTCAAGTTGACACATAACACTAACCACCACGCACATGCTAGATGTGTGGGATCATCAACATTACATTCCATCCTTTCAGCTACTCTAATATTGTTGATTCTACTAACAATATTAGCAACTTCATAGAAGTATTAGGGGTTATTTTGCAATCTGTCTCGACACTAACATAGAGATTGTCTTAAATGTGATGACTACCATAATCTTCAGTGGTGCTATCAGCAGTAGTAAATTTGGCAATTAAAGACCTTAACATCTATCCTACAGGAATGAACAAGGCCATATTTACAATATATACGTGAATTCCAGCTTTATTGTAATATTGAAAATTCAAAGCAAAGTAAATGTCTAACAATAATGAAAGAGTTAAATAAATTATGATGCAATGATATCATGGGATACTATATAATCATTAAAAATAATTCTATCTTGTTTTATTGGCATACAGAATGTCCATGATGAATAGTTTTATCATATTTTTGTAAAGGTATACATATATGTGTGCATGTGTATGTATATAGATATACAAGTATGTATATACACAGATAAAGATCTGGAAGTTTACAAACTGCAATGGTGCTGCCATTGCTATGAGAAGGTACAATTCCTGCCATGTGGCTAGAAATTGAGGTGACTTCTAGGATATGAGAGCGATCCTCTCCACTGACAGTCAGCAAAAAAATGGAGGCATTATTCCTACAACCACTAGGAACTGTATTCAGCCAACAACCTGAGTGGATTTGGAAGAGGACTCTGAGCTCCAGAAGAAAGTGCAGTCTGGCTGACACCTTGATTTCTGCCTTGTGTAACCTTGAGGAAAGGGCCCAGATATCCTGGGCCCAGAGTTCTGATCTAAAGATCTGTAGAATAATAATGTCAGTAGTTTTTAGCTTCTAAGTTTGTAGTAATTTGTTATACAGCAATAAGAAACTAACACAATCATTTAGCATAATGCAGAAACATCTGTACCTTCTCAATTAAAAAAAAATGGGCCAGCCCAGTGGTGTAGTGGTTAAGTTTGCACACTCTGCTTTGCCAGCCTGGGGCTCACACGTTCAGATCCCGGGCATGGACCTACATACCACTCATCAAGCCATGCTGTGGCAGAGTCCCACATACAAAGTGGAGGAAGAGCAGCACAGATGTTAGTTCAGTGACAGTCTTCCCAAAGCAAAAAGAGGAAGATGGGCAACAGATGTTAGCTCAGGGCCAGTCTTCCTCACCCCCTAAATATATATATATATAAAATAAACAGGGGAAAAGACTAGATTTTCCAAATAATCATTTGATTTACTATGTGGAAAAATGATATTAAAATATATTGCTGAGCAGAACTTTAATTTAAATATTAAGTGAAAAAGAAAGGTCTCAAATCAGTAAAAGGTTTGAAATCACCTGCATTTTCACTTTTTAAAATATATATGAGTATCTTCAATTAAGTGACTTGCAGGACCAAATAATAGATTTTGATAACAAGTTGGTATATTGTGATGGAATAAACTAAAAAAAAATCTCAATGTTTCAAAAGCATTCACTTTTATTTCAAGGCAACTGGAAATCTTCAATGGCATCTCAATACATCAAAAGAAACTGGAGACTACACCCTGACAATGTCCGCCACAATTGGATTCTGATTTTTTTCCCAACCCATAATCTGACCTTACGTTATTGACCTCACCTTACTGACTGTCTACTTACTGTTTTCTTCCCTTTTTACATGTCTTTGCTCAAGACACTCCCTCAGCCTGCCTCTTGGGTGGAAGTCGTACCAACTAAGCGAGACCCAGTTCCATTCCACGGAGAGGTCTGCCCTCCTTCTCGCTTGCTCGCTGTCAATAGAGCCAGTCTCCCCTCCTCACATTTCCGAAGACCTTTGCTGGCTTTACTAGAATAGAACATACTGTCACCTGCTTTAAGTTTATATATGAACGTGAAGTCACCCTCACTAGACTGAGTTCCAAGGTGTCAGGAACTGTTCTTTTCCTGATCCGCAGTGCCTGGCAGAGGGCTGTGCGTGTGGCTTATGGTCAGAAAAGCGATTACTGAGTTTTCTTTAAATTTTCCATCTCCAGACGCACACCATAATGCTTATAATTTTAATTTAGGGAAGTCTGTGTCAAAATAAAGGTCTGGTGAGAAACAGAGGGAGAAATTCAGATTTTTAAAAATGAGGAGAATAATTTTGCTCAGAGATTGAACAAATCATAACAATTGCCAAATGAAATTGGGAGCGCAGTAAAAAAGATTCAGCACAGGAGGAAGGTCAAATTTAAGAACTAGAAATAAAGCACAATACGTACAATATTCATTACACCTCTGCAGTTTCTGCTGTAGCATTTTACATTATTCAAATCTTTTTATACTGCTTATGACAATATTTGCCTCCCTTATGAATTCATTTTCAACACACTCTTGTACCGTGGTTGAATTTGAAAGATATTCTAATTTAAGATTATCAGAATTGGACAGAGGACTATATTGACTGAATAACATTTAGGAAGTTTTATGGATATGAATTTCAAAATGCCTCAAACATAATTAAAATCACTGCAAGCCCAAGGGAAATATAAAATATTATGTACTAGTAACAGTTTACTGTCTAGCTCACATGCAATTATTTTACATTTTCTGAAAATAATATTGAAGTGCTTGTATAAAATATAAATAACATGAAAAGTTGATTGAAACATTCCATTCATTCAGTTAACTATTTATTGAGTACATAGCAGGTACAAGATTTTATATTACATTCCATAAAGGATACAAATATAAGGATATAAATACAATAAGGAAGAAAACAGAAGGTTACCTAAATGTACTTAGTGCTCTATCTATGCCTGGCCCTGCCTTGGACTAGTAATCATAATAGCAAATACTCACTGAGTGTTTATGATGTCTATGCGTAATTGTGAGGGTTGATATGGTTGCATCAATTTAATCTTCAGAACAAATCTATGAGATTAGTATTACCATTTTTCCCATTTTTCAGATGAGGAGATTGCTGCATAGTGATGAGTAACTTGCTCAATGTCGCAATGCTACGAATTTCAAAGGTGAAACTTGAATTTAACAGCCAGCTGCTTTATATGTACCTACCCTGTACTGCATTTTTATGGGGAGACTACGCTACACACTTCCCGGTGAGTTTTCTGATCTCCATTTTACAGAGCAGGACCTTGAGGCTCAGGGAGATCAAGGGGATTTCCCAAGATCCTAGCCCTGATCGATGAGAGTCAGCATCCCAAATCAGATCTGTCTGATGCCAAACCCTCCACCGACTCCTCTGCACCGCCTCCCAAACCACACGAGATAAAATATTAATAAAGTATGTTCAAACTCTATTCCATCCCGTCTATTATTTAAATCCAACTGCATTTCTTCCTGGCTGTATGGCATTAGGCAAGTCACTTAATCCCTGTCTGCTGTGGTTCCCTCATCTGTACAATGAGTATAATAACACTTCATACTTCGCATGATTGTTCAGAGGATCGAATATGATAGGTAAAGCAATTGAACAGTACTTAGCACAAACATTACTGTTATTAGTATTTGTATTAGTACTACTATTATTATTTGTAAATCATCATAGACGGGGAGATAAGGAACATATATGAATACTACTACTGCTACTAGATGGAGGGCTGAACTAAGCGTTTTTTCAGGATTATCCTTCCCCAACAACCCCATTAGGTAGATACTGTGGTCCTCATTTTTCAGATGATGAAATAGAGGTTTTAAAAGTTAAGGAAGCGGCCCAGGATCATAGAGCCCGTAAGTGGCGGGACCACATATCAACCCTGGGCTTACTGACTCCAAAGCCCACAGGGTAGTACGTGATGAGTGTCAAAAGAAAGGTGTAATCTAAGTGCTGTAGGAGTTCAGAGAATGCACACCACTTCTTGCTTAGGTGATAGGAAAGGGTGTCCCTGGGTGGGCTGACACTTGAGCTAAGCTGTGACGGTAGACAGAATTGCAGCAGGTGAGAAGTACACCTTTTGAAGGACAAAATGAGCTTACCCCGAACAGTATGAACAAAGATCTTGAGACAGGGTATAATCCATCTGACACTGTAGGGAAGAAGTAGAAAAAGGAGCAGGAAAGCTGAGTTAATGTAAACTCCATGAGTGCAGGGCCTGGGCTTCTAGAACGGTGCTATTCAATACGCAGCCACAAGACACTCTGTCCAACACCCTCCTAGAAACACTAACTCATTCAGGTCTCTTTCAGCAGCAAGTGACAGGAATCCACTCCAAACTAGTCAGGGAATTTGTTGGTCCCACAATAGGTAAATGTTAATAAAAAGACAGACGCATGAACAGATGGGTGAATGGCTGTCTCACTTCTGTTGCTCCCTGGGTGCTGGCCTCGTTCACTCCTACTGCAGACAGACTTGCTCCATGGGGCGGTGTAAATGTCTAGTCTACCACCAGCTCCTAGCTCACTTTCTTCCAACTCCTTGACCAAATACCTAAAGCGCCTTTTCCTCCACTCTAAATAAACAAATAAATGCTGTCACAAGGAGAGTGTGTGCTACGTCCCAGGCACTGTTCTTCATGCTTTATGTGTATGAAGTGATTTGATCCCCAGAAAAACCCTATCATCACCCCTATTTTGGAGATGAGGAAACTGAAGCACAGAGAGGTGAAAGAACTTGCCCAAGATTACCGAGTTTAGAAGTGGAAGGACTGGAATTTGAAGCCAAACAGGTAGACTCTGGTATCCAAGAATCTCTACAAGAATCAGTGTGGCCGAGGGAAAAGGAAT